AGGGGCAGGGGGCAACAACGGGGACCGGCCAGAAATCGAGGATAGGCCGGCACGACCAAAATCGAACCACACGCCGTAACGGTCTGGACGGCCGTTGCTTGCAAGAAACGGAGACAGACGTAAAAATCAACGCGCCGCGCACCGAGCCTCACCTGTCCGCCGCGGGCGGGCGCCGCCAGATGCTCGAGAGAAGTCTTTCCGACGGCGCGCGGCCAGCAGCAGCGTCGCGTAGACCTTGCTGGAGAGCCCGCGCGCCTTCAGGGGCGGGGAGACCCCCCGTGCGGCGAGCCGCGCTGGTGGCCCGGTAGGCGGCGTACGCGCCGAACGCTCCAAGAACCACCACGTTCTCCTCGTGCTGGGCGTCGTCGATGCCGATCCAAAGTGGAAGGTACCAGTCACGGTGAATCTTCAAAGAACTGGTGAGCTCTCTTCTCACCACCGCGCACCGCGAGTAATGCTCGATGCTGTCGCGTCCGCAACCACACCCCAAAACGCAGAAATCCTGTGGTCCATCACGGCGCTGAAACCGTCGAGCAGTGCACCAGCCGTTCCAAGCAGTTCGGAAAACGGCCGCGGCGACTCGAGGCGGCACCAGGCGCCCAAGCGCCCGGACATGTTGAAGGAATCTGTCTGCAAGCACCCGCGGCGTTGGCAACCCAGGCGCCCGTGGGAACTTCCAGCGTTAGCTTATCTCTGACGCGCATATGGATGCGGTCCGGGTGCTGTACCCGCCGGCGCACCTCCCGCTGGAATGAATGCCGGGCCTGCTCCCACGCCTCGGCCGGCAGCGCCTCAGGGCTCTGTCCAGTCAGCGCAGCGACAACTCGTTCGGCCGTGATGCCCTTTCGGTGGAGTTGCCACGCGTTGCGCGCGAGGACGCCGGGGGCGGAGGCGTGCAGCCAGCCTGCCCAACGCGCAACGCGCAACATGTACTGCGACTGATTCCACTCCGCTCGAAGCTCAAGCGTCATCCGCTCCAGGCTGGTTCTGTTGAGCCTCCGATCCTCGTACGCAGCCAGGCGGAGTTGCGCCGCCTGCGCCAGCGTGGCCAGCTGCCCGAAAGCCTGCGGCATGCCGAAGTTCCGGTCAAGTTGCCACAGATCTTCCGGCATTGCCCAGTTTCCAGGGCCAGGAGCAGCTCGTCGCAAGGCCCACTTCTCCAGCTCGCCGACAGCGACGTCCACGTCCGCCATCTGGGCAGTGAAACTCAACACTGGGAGCGCGTACACATTGTAGACAAATGTGGCGAAGTGCAGGCCCAACTCCGGCCACGGCCACCCGGACACGCGATCCTGGAAACGCGCGGCTGCACGATCCCACTCCTTGCCAAACTTGCCTGGGCCGATGGCGCACCCGAGGTAGGTGGCCTCGCGGGACAGGGGGAGCTGGGACCAAGACGGCGCAGCCTCGCTGACCACTGCACGCGCTTCCTCCAAACTGTCACCCCACAGTGGGATGCCGATTGTCTTCTCCAGATTGACTTGCATGCCCGAGAGGCGGCCGAACTCTTCGAGCGCAGCAGCAAGGATCGGCAGTTGCTTGGGCACGTCGTCCAAGATGATGCCCACGTCGTCGGCGAACGCGCGGACGAGGCACCCGCCGCCGAGCCGGAGCTGGAGCACGCGTAGGAGTAGATCCATGCAGGCGGCAAACACCAGAGGCGACAGTGGACAGCCTTGGCGGATGCCCGATCCAACGGCAAAGCCGCTCCATAAGCCACCAGCGACCGAGATGGAGCAAGCCCCGTCCGCGTAGAAAGCTCGAAGTGCAGTCAGGGCCTCCTCCGGCACGCCGTAGCCGCGCAAGCACCCGTGCAGGAAGTCGTGCGCCACGCTGGGGAACGCGGCGCGGAAATCCACGAGCACTACCATGCCCTGGGCACACTTGGCCGCGGTCCGAAGAGCGCCCGCCTCAAGCTCGATGACGTTCAGCATCATTGAGCGGCCAGGCAGGAAGCCGCGCTGGGGTTCGGAGACCCACGGCCCGAGCCCCTGCTCCCACCTCCGTTTGTACGCCGAGGCGAGCAACCGATTCGACACGTCCACGACATCTTGGCACGCCTCTCTGATATCGCGCACTGCGGAGTCGGACCGGAGGCAGGTCGCCACGTCCTCCAGCGCGCCCACTGCCAAACTCCCGAGACGCTTCCACAGACAAGCCGGGATTCCATCCGGGCCAGGCGCAGAGTGAGACGCCGTGCGGACAGCCCACGCAATGTCTGCCCTGGTGGTGTGCCAGAACTCGCTGCCCCGAGGCAGCGGGCTGCGTTCCCAGGTGGGCGCCGCCTCGCGTAACCACTCTGACAAGGCGTCCTGGTCGATATCTTGCCTGCCGAATACGAGTCTCCAGCGCTGGGCCAGGGCGTCGGCGATCTGCTCCGGGTCCGTGGTCACCGAGCCGTCGGGCTTCCGGATTGCACGGAGCTGGGCGGTGCCCCCCGGTTTGAGGCGACGAGTCTTCATGGATCTTGCACGCTGTTACCGCCGACATGACTCAGACTGCACGATTCTGCACGAGCGAAGAACCACCTGAGCTCCCAAACAGGATCTCACACGCCGTTGCTGCCGACATGCCTCAGACCACACTCGCACTGCCATGCTTCAGCGGAGCAAACAGATCACCTCCTATTCATGCTGATCACAATCAAGAAAAATGGAGAGCGCAGCCTCCCTACCCTCTCTGCTGGGACCAGGGCGGCAGAGAGAAGGTGCCCCCTTACCGCCAGGTCGCCGCCCAGGCCATGATGCACTTGCGCCAGCAGGAGCGGGGGCGCTTGCTTTGGAATGTCATTCAAAACGTCAACCAGCTCTTAGCATAACCCGTCGTGTGGTTTCGCCTGGTAACCCAACCTGGGAGAAACGCGACGAGTCGGTCGATCGCAGATGCTGCGGACTGCGCGATCGAGACGAGGGTCGGGGCGTCGATCTTGATTTCGGCGAGGGAAGAGGAGAGGAAGGTCCATTTCCGATCATGGGACGCCCTCCAGTCAGCATGCCCCTGCCCAGCGCTGCGAGCTGCCGTCGGGATGAGAGGGCTGGGCGGACTCAACGAGATAATGCAATCACTGGCCCCCCCAAAAGGGCCGAAGGTGGGGCGCCATTTTGGACGCCGCCAGGTCCCGCCGGATCGCCAAAATCACCCGATGTGTTCGTTCATTCATACGCAAGCCCGCGGCAATGCATATTGCAGTGGGGAATCCAAGCCCCACTGCCCCGGAATGTATGCTTCACGTGGAAAACCGACCAACCACAAACACAGCTCCCACAGCGTCGCCCACGTTGTTGGCGAGGGAGGGTGGGAGGGGAAGGAGGGAGGAGCGCAATGACCACACCTGCTTTACGGTGTTCACAGAAGGAGGAGGACACGTCACACGTCTAATGGGCACTATAGAGAAATGTATGTAGCTCGGTCTCGCTACCACGAGACTCTTGAAAACAAACTACGCTGGATTCGGACTGAAGAGACGAGAGGCAGTTGCACCTGAGCGCGAGGAGGTGGGAGCCGCAGCGGGAGAGGGAGCGAGCACTCCAACCACCACACGGCAGAGAACCGGCCGAGCCTCCTGCCGCCCGACCGCAAACGGGACAGCCCGCCACAGCAACCGCTCGGGCTCCCCGTCCCGCGTGGTGCAGATGAGGGATGCCCTCTCCACCATCTGGATCTTGTCGAAGCAGCCGACAGGTTGCCCTGGCCCCGCTCCAAGCGCGGGGCTCGTCCTGGCCCACGGCCGGGGAGCGATGCGCGCCAGCACCTTCCAGTTCAGGCCGAGCTCGCCTGCAACCTCGTCGGAGGAGAAGCGTCGCCCAGGGTATCACTCCTTCACGGCAGCTGGAAGCAGTCTGAAGCCAATATCTCTCTTTTTCCCAACCCTCCTGCGTTGGGTTCTCGTTTTGAATAGAGCACTGCTCGCGCGAACCTTCCTTCCTTCCTTCCCGTCCCTCTCTTCCCCCTGCCTTTGACCTCGCCTTCCCTGGGGGGCTGCGATCTGTGAAACTGTCGCCACTTTCGAGGCCTGCTGGGGGGCCCAACACAGTGACGCCACACGCAGATTCAAATTAGACCTCGCCATCCCTGGGGGGGCTGCGATCTGTGAAACTGTCGCCACTTTCGAGGCCTGCTGGGGGGCCCAGCACAGTGACGCCACACGCAGATTCAAGTTAGACCTCGCCATCCCTGGGGGGCTGCGATCTGTGAAACTGTCGCCACTTTCGAGGGCTGCTGGGGGGCCCAGCACAGTGTCGCCACGCGCGGACCCAAATTAGACCTCGCCATCCCTGGGGGGCTGCGATCTGAGATCCCCGCCTTCGAAGTGGCGAGGGTTGCTCAGGGATTGTAACTAATCAGCTTTATCTAGTCCTTGTCCTGTAGCCAGTGTCCTGCGAGTGTCCCGAATTCCGTCTGCAGACATATGTAACCCTCGTTCCGTCATCGCCCCCTTTTTATAAAGTGTCCTAAACTATTCGCGCCCCGCGTTTGCGCAGGGGTCAGGTACGTCGCCAGGGTAATTCTCTCTCTCTCTCTCTCTCTCTTTCTCCCTCTCTCTCTCTCTCTCTCTCCCCCTCTCTCTGTCTCTCTCTCTCTCTCTCTCTCTCATTGGACTTGGAACTGTTTCTTGTCACTGCTGACGTAGAAGGGAGCGTCACCATTCGTGGCGGTCTTGGCGGCGAGCTGCATCCAAACAGCTCGGAAGCGAACAATACGCATAGCACAAAGGGTCTGATCAACACGACGGGTAGCGTAGCCGACTGCGCCCTTGAAACGGACCTGGAAGCGCTTGGAGGGGGTCGCCCTCGGTGTCGACGTCCTCGATCGGCATGTTTGCGGTGCCCCTGACGGGTTTGAAGCCAGCAACTGCGTTCTCCTTCGGGGCAGCATCACGGGCACGGGGAATGATGACGGTGCCATCTGTCGTGCGGTCGAAGCTGCCGTTGCCACCGGCAGCCACCGCAGGGTCAGGCTTCCCAGCACGGACTGCACCCATAAGTTGCCGCACTCAGCTCCTGGATGTAACCCTGTAGGCCGGATGTCTTCTCACTCTGCTCACGAACTTCGGCGTGCACTTGACCGAGCCTGCGCTCCACCTGGGTCTCGAGGGACGAGCAATGGGAGTTGCAGGAAGTGCCGACGTCCGCGAGGCTCTTCTGCACGGATGCGAGGGACTGGAGAGTATGAGCCTTCGTGTTGTCGATGTCTGTTTCGAGGTTCTCCACGTCGGTGTCCGAAGCCTTGGCACGCTTGGGCAAGGCTTCACGCTCACCACCTGCAGGCGAGGGCAGACGACCACCAGCGGGGGCGCCAACCTGAGACAGGTGACCACCTCGAGAGCAGGGCAGCGTCTGGACTTGGGAGGCACCTTCCAGCGAGGCATGGACGTCCTGGGAGGCGGGCTCGTCACAGCCGACGAACTGGTCACGCTCGGCCATTCCTGCGCGCAACAAGATGTTAGGCACCCAACAGGGACGGGCGAGAGTGCGCGAAACTGTAGGAGCATGAGAGGTGAAATGGCGCGCGGCTGGGCGCACCCTCGAGGGGTGTCGCACGGCAGTGGAAACCTGACGCCCGAGCCACCAAGACGTGGGGTTCGAACTTGAGCCAAGATGGCTACGGACTCCTCCTACTGCTCCTCCTCCTCCTCCTCCTCCACCTTCTCTCTCCCCCGATATCCTTTCCCTTGGCGCGCTCGTCGTGGTCATCTCTTGTGCGGTCCGAGCTGCGGCAGTGCGTGCGTGCGTGGGTGGCAGCGCTTGTGGCCCGACGTTGCTCGGCGAAGCGCTCAAGAGTGCTGCGTCTCTCTCAGTGTGCTCTTGCGCGTGGAACGATCCTACTGATAGCCGCCTCGCGTTCAGAAAGGGCTGGACACGTCTCGGGCAATGTTGTCACTGCCGGCACCACGGAGCGAGGGAAGAACAGCCCCAACAAAGTCCTGGGGGGCCCAACACGGTGCCGTGAGGGACCGTGGGGTGACCCTGGAATCGCCAGATACCCCAGAGCGCGGCCCGTCACCGCACTGGCGTGGGGGAGGAGGAAGAAGAGGAGGAGGAGGAGGAGGAGGAGGAGGAGGAGGAGGAGGAGGAGGAGGAGAGGGAGGGAGGGAGGAGGAGAGGGAGGGGGAGGAGGGAGAGAGGGAGGAGAAGGAGGAGGAGGAGGAGGAGGAGGAAAGAGGAGGATGAAAGAGGAGGGGGAGGATGAGGAGGAGGAGGAGGAGGAGGAAGAGGAGGTCTGCGGCTTTCGGCGCTCGTGCTGACAGCAGAGAGGGCTGGGGGGAGATGATTGAGAAAGCGAGGGAGGGATAGAGACAGGGGGGCGGCCGTCAGACGAAGCCGTGAGTTTCGTGCGCAGCTACGGTGCCGGCTTGGAGGACGCCGACCAGTCCGAGATCTTGAACCGGATCTGGCGAGACATCTCACGCACCCTGCAGCTAGGGAACGCGGAGATGATCCTGAGCGCTCTGGGGAGGTAAGGTGCAGCAGGCTGTTTCCGCGACGACCACCACTAATTAGCAGCCCCAGCACGGCAACCACCAGCGCGGCCACCGTTAGCACGACCACCACCTCGCCCACCGCCGCGGCCACCACGACGACCGCCAGTCCGACCACCACGACCACCACGTTCAGCACCAGCGACCAACCGCCGGCGCCGACCGTGACAACCGCCACTGCTATCAGCGCGAGCACCAACGCCGACGACCAGCGCTTCCACCCCGTCGACTTTGACGCCCCCGGCAGGCGCTGACTCCCCACCCGCCCCCCGTCCCGCCCCCTTGCCCTCCTTCTCTGCTGGCCGGCCGCCCCATGTCTGCGGCGCCCTGCCCTCCTGCTCCTCCCGTCCCCTTCCGGCCGCCCCTGCTTGCATTCCTCCTTCTCCTTGCACTTTGGCGTCGGCGCTGCATGATTTACTTAACAATTAGAACTTGCATTCAGTCGGGCGTGTCCCCCTACAGAGGGGGATTTGGGGCGAAAAATGCTTTAAAAAAATGCTCCCAAGATGCTCAGAAATAGTCAAAAAATCATCCCCAGCCTATGACTTAAAACTTGCACTCAGAGGCGGAGCGCCACGGGGCCGCCAGTCCTTCAAGAGGCTGTGCCCAGCTATCACTTACACTGAGAGGCGGAGCGCCACGGCGCCTGTCCTCCGAGAGGCTGGCTGGTAGGTGGCGTCTTCCGCGGCCGGGGCCCTGGACCATCACCCCAACGCCCGGGGGCTCCCCCTCGGTGACGGGGGTGGGGGCCCACTCGGGTGCCCCCGGGCCTTTCTTGGAAGGGGGAGGGGGGGCGGGGGAGGGCAGGGGAGGGAGGGAGGGAGGGGAGGAGAGGGGAGGAGAGGGGAGGGGAGGGGAGGAGGGAGGGGGGCGAGAAAGGGACCGGGGCGGGGCAGGGAGGGCGAGGGGGGAGATGCCCCCCCCTCGACGGGGCCGTCCGCGGGGCGCGCCGCGCTCGCTGCTCAGCGCTTGCGCACGACGAGCGCCAGCACGCTGCACGCCGCCACGGCGCCGCAGGCGCCGATGAGGAGGTGGGTCTGGCGGAAGCACTCGGGTCCCCTGCGCGGGGCGGGCGGAGGAGGGGGAGAGACGCAAAGTCACCACTGCCACCTGCGAGCGCGCGCCGCCGCCGCCCTGGGCAGGATCCGCGCTGCGATCTGCGTGATCTTCACTGTCACGTCCAAGGAATCTGACATGAAGATCAACAAGACTCCCCCTGCGATCGAAGGATTTCTCGCACGAGATCTTCGGAAATCAACGCTCACGAGACTTGCCCAGAGAGAGAGAGAGAGAGAGAGGGCGAGGGACCCAGAGCTCCCGACGTCGCGTCTTGCTCGCAACGCGGACCCCCAAAAGTCTCGACCCCTACCCCGCGGCCCGCGCGGCCCGGCCCAGGGGCCCCAGGGGCCAAGAGTTGCCCGCCGGGGATGCGGCGGCCGAGGGCATGGGGAGGGACGGGCACGGCGAGGGACGAGAGAACGGGGGAGGCGGAGGAGGAGGAGGAGGAGGAGGAGGAGGAGGAGGAGGAGGGAGGAGGAGGAGGAGGAGGAGGAGGAGGAGGAGGAGGAGGAGGAGGAGAAGGAGGAGGGAGGAGGAGGAGGGAGGAGGAGGAAGGAGGAGGAGCAGGAGGAGTGAGAGGAGCAGCAGGAGAAGGAGGAGGAGGAGGAGGAGGAGGAGGAGGAGAACCAGCGTGAACCCAAGAGTCAGCAACGGTGTTGGGATAAACCCTCCGCGCAAGCTCCCTCTTCATAGGCCCCTACAGCGGTGCATTTCCACTGAGGGAACTGCCTCGTTGGAAGACATCCGTTTCAAGACACTGAAGCATGCCAAAACATTGTTCTCGGGATTCCAGCGCCACGGATCAACCTGACTGTTGCGTCTTGACGATCCTGAATCGTAACAGAACGCCATTCCTGGGACTTCAACACCGCGAACCAACGTAACTGTTGCACCCTCACAATCCTGAATCCCTCCAAACACACAATTTCTGGTACGCTGACCATGGGAATCCGTGAAACTCTCGCAAATGTTAAAGACGAGGGTGCGCGGCGCTGAGGCGACAACCACATTCTGAAAAGGAACCGCCCTCAATCCGTGAAACTCTTGCACATGTGTGAAGCGAGTGTACGTGGCGCTGAAGCGAGAGCCACATTGTGAAACCGGGCCGCCTTCAATCCGTGAAACTCTTGCACATGCTCAAAACGATTACTTACGCGCGGCGCTAGGGCGAGAGCCCTGTTTTGAAAACGGCCCGCCCTCCATTCGTAAAACTGTTGCCGGTCTTTGAGCTCCAGGGTCATACGTGGTGAGGAAGTCTCAGGCGAAACACCCAGCCCGCCCTAACAACTCGCCTTGGGGTGCGACAGGGAGAAGTGACTCGGGAGCGGCCAAGAGGGGGGCGTCCAAGAGGGGGGGGGGCAAATCATGACCGGCGGCATGTGCGCGGCCATAAAATCTCGGGAAACCCTTTGTGTTTATGTGTTTTTTCCTGTTCTGAATGAAACAAGAAGCGGCGCCATGAAATCTCGGGAAATATCGTGGCCCCCGCCATGGTATCCCCCCCCTAGTCATCAACCCCCCTCTTTGCCGCCCCCGAGCTACGTATGAGGACAAAGGAACGGAGGCGGAGGACGGCAGCGGCGCTGGCGCCCCGCGTGCCCGCCTGCACGCGCCGCCTCCCGGCGGGACGTGCGCCTTGTAGACCCAGGGCTCCACGCCTAGAAGGACGCCCGCAATCGATGCTTGATCAGGAGCTCGACTCCAGAGCTGAGCTACCCCAAGACTGATTTGCGCTGAGCTACCCCAAGACTGATTTGCTCGTCGAACCTAATTACAGCAGTGTGTAGAACGTCCGCACATCTGCGGACCTCACGCGCATGTTTCGTAGATTCGGCGAACAACTACCTCTGAGGTAGATCAACTATGTAGTCGATCTCCGACTCGAAACACACACACACACACTCTTTGTTTGGCGTCGCGGCCCCGCGCGCAGCGTCGAGGCGCGAAGGTCGGGGCAAAACAGAAAGCGCGCGGCTGGGCCACTCAGCGGCCAGGGACAGGGATCCACCCTCAGGGGACCAATCAACACCACACACACGCACACACACGATCTGAGCGGGCTCCTCGTCCCCCTCCGGGCCCCAGGGGGGCTCGAAAATTGCCCGCATCCGCCGCCTCTCGAAGTCCCGGATGATCCACTCCCCAGGCGGTGGACGCGTGCAGATTCTGGCCTCGGCTTCTCCGCCTCGTCCTGGCCGGGCACGGTCCTGGGCCCATCCTGGTGCAATGCGCACTCCGTCCCTGGCCCGGCCAGGGGGGGCATCGACTCCGGCCCCTTGTGAGGGGCAGCGCTCCCAGACCCCCGACGTAATGATTTTTCACTACGTCGACCCCAGAGTTCTCGACCCCTTCCCCAGGACCGGTTTGTCATCCTGAGTCGTTTTTCGACGCTCCCGAAGCCCGGTGAGGGCCCCGAGAGGCCGACAATGGCGAAAAACCTCCCGTCATGATTTTTGTCATTACTCGAGGAGGTCTGGGCTGGGGGGGGGGGGAGGCTCGGCTCCGCGGGGAAACCTCGAGCTGGCACCGACGGTACGTCGCCGACAGATCGGCGACGGGCCCCCGCGAATCCGCAGGCTCCCAGGCCCGGCAGGACATGGGGCCCCTGTCGGCGACGACGACGACGACGACGACGACGACGACCAAGACAACGACCACGACGACGACCACGACGATGACCACGACGACGACCACTACGACGACCACGACGACGACGAAGACCACCACGACGACGACCATGACGACGACCACCACGACGTCGACCACGACGACGACGATGGCGACGACGACCACGACGACGACGGCCACAACGAGAACACGACGACCACGACGACGACGATGACGACGACAATGACCACGACGACCACGACGACGACCACGACGACGACCACGACGACGACGACAACGACGACGACGACGCAGACGACGACGACGACGACGACGACGACCACGACGACGGCCACGACGACGACGACAACGACGACAACGACGACGACGACGCAGACGACGACGACGACGACGACGACGACGACCACGACGACGACGATGACGACGACGACGACGACGACGACGACGACGACGACGACGACGACGGCGACGACGGCGACCACGACAACACGACGACCACGACGACGACCACGACGACCACCACAACGACGACAACGACGACGACGATGACGACGACAACGAGAACGACGACCGCGACGACGACCACGACGACGACCACGACGACGACGACGACCACAACGACCACGACGACGGCTACGACGACGACCACAACGACGACCACGACGACGACCACGACGACGACGACAACGACGACGACCACGACGACGACCACGACGACGACCACGACAACGACAACAACGACGACGACGACCACGACGACGACCACGACGACGACCACGACGACGGCGACCACGACGACGACCACGACGACGACCACGACGACGCCGACGACGCCGACGACGCAGACGACCGCGACGACGGCCACGACGACGACGACGACGACAACGACGACGACGACCACGACGACGACCACGACGACGACCACGACGACCACACGACACGACCACCGACTCACGAACGACGACGACCGACGACGAGACCACGACGACAACGACGACGACGACGGACGACCACGAGACACCACGACGACGACCACGACGACGACCACGACGACGTCGACGACGTCGTCGACGACGACGAACCACGACGACGACACCACCGACGACGACGACGACCACGACGACGACCACGACGACGACAACGACGACGACCACAACGACGACGACGAGAACGACGACCACGACGACCACGACCGACCACGACACGACGACGACGATGACGACGACGATGACGACGACCACGACGACGACCACGACGACGACCCACGACGACGACCACGACGACATCGACGGACGACCAACGACGACGACGACCACGACGACGAGCACGACGACGTCGACGACGACGACGTCGACGACGACGACGTCGACGACGACCACCACGACGACGACGACCACGACGACGACCACGACGACGACAACGACGACGACCACAACGACGACGACGAGAACGACGACCACGACGACCACGACGACCACGACGACGACGATGACGACGACGATGACGACGACAACGACCACGACGACGACCACGACGACGACCACGACGACGACCACGACGACATCGACAACGACGACCACGACGACGACCACGACGACGACCACGACGACGTCGACGACGACGACGTCGACGACGACGACGTCGACGACGACGACGACGAGGGCCTAGCATGAACACGAGGGTGAAGCCCGCGGCGGCCAGCACCACGAGGCCGAAGAGCCTCCCAGCGGACCGCAGGCCGAACGTGTGGCCGACGAGCAGCGGCCCCGTCGACCACATGGCCTGCCAGGCTGGCCGAAGGGAGAAGGGGGAGTTGTTCTGTGCTTTTTCCCTCTCCTCCTCCTCCTCCTCCTCCTCCTCCTCCTGCTGCTCCTCCTCCTCCTGCTCCTCCTCCTCCTCCTCCTCCTCCTCGTTGCTGGCGTCGACGCCGGGGTCGCTGATGGCGTCGGTGCGGGCGTTGATGCAGGCTGCTGCACTGGAGTCGACGCTGTCCTCGGCACTGGAGTCAATACTGTCTTCGCGGCGTCGGAGGGCGTGCGGAGGGGCATCGGAGAGGGGGGCGTTGGTGAAGGCGTCGGGAGGGGCGTCAGGTCGGGCGCCGTGCCAGGCGGTGACCTGGGCCGTGGTCTCACCCATTGGAATGCGGCGAGGTAGCGGGTAGCTCTGGCGGCCGCCTCCTCGGTCTCGCGCGACGCGAAGCCGCGGCCTAGGGGGCGCCCGCGCCGACCCAAAATGACGCTGCATGGGTGACCCGTTTTGGTGATCGTCGGTGCGGGAGTGGTCGGCCGCCCCTGGGCTCGGTGAGGCCCTCGGCAAAAAGGGGGGGCAGCCTTCCGCGGCGCCGTCGCCGGCGCTGACGTAGATGCGGGAGTCGCTGCAGACGTCGATGCCGGGACAGCGACAACGACGACGATGACCACGACGACCACGAATATCACGACGATCACGACGACGACCACCACCACCACGACGACGACCACCACCACGACGACGACGACAACGACGACGACAACAACGACGACAACCACGACGACGACGACTAACGACGAAGACGACGACGACCCCGACAACAACGACGACGACGACGACGACGACGACGACGGCGACGACGACGGCGACGACGACGACGTCGCCCCGTCGCTCACGCCGAGCAGCGCGCAGGCGGCGTACAGCGGCGCGACGCCGGCGAGGGCGTCGCAGAGGAGCACGCCCTGCGCGGCGACGAGCAGCAGGGGCCCCAAGGCCAGCAGCCCCAGGAGGGGCGCGCCCCTGCCGAGTCAGGGCGCGGGCGGGCGAGGGGAGCCTCCGAGGGGGAGGGCGAGGGCGAGAGGGGGAGGGACAGGGGATCGTCGAGGGGGAGCTTCGAGGAGGGGGCATCGTCGAGGGAGAGCTTCGAGGGGGAGCTTCGCCGGGGGGGGGAGGAGCAGGGGATCTTCGAGGGGGAGTTTCGAGGGGGAGCTTCGACGGGGAGGGACGGGGGGAGGGGCGGGGAGAGCTTCGAGGGTGATATTCGAGGAGGAGGGAGCTTCGAGGGGAGGGAGGGGCGGGGAGCTTCGAGGATCGATGTTCTCATACGTGCTCTGGACGCTTTTCCCTGCCAGGGCTCTGGCCAAGGGATCGCCCTGGTGGGCGTGCCTTTGGCCTCAGACTGGAGGGGCGTCCAGGCGCCTGAATTGGGTACGTAGACATACCTGCGGTACGTAGACATACTGGAGGAGTATCCAACATGCGTCTCGGCAAGCCTGCGTCTGCTGTGCACCTTCACACGTGGTCGGCGCTGAGCGGACCACGGGTGGCACATCCAACCCCGGAGCGTCGGATCCTGCACGCGCCACGAAACGTGCGCAGAAGGGGGGATCTCCAGCATGCCTCTGGCGCCCGCGCGACTGGCGCGTCCGTCTGCGCGTCTAGGGCCTAGACGCGCAGACGGCAGGCCTAGACTCTAGGCCTAGACTCCAGACTCTAGACCTGCCCGCTGGGGGCCTAGGCTCTAGGCCCCCAGCGGGATGTCCCAGGGGAATATCCCGCGTGCGGTCGGCAAGGTCTTCGCACACTAAGATGCGTGCGCGGAGGGGCGTGCCCGGCACGCGCCTGTCGCGAGCACGTGCGGGGCAGCCTGCACGGGCGGAGGGCGGCGCGGTTGTTGCAGAGTGGAGGCTCGCGTGGGGCCTCCTCGAATGTGTGGGCAGAGGCGCAAGCTCGCACAACACCTGCACCTGTGTGGGCGGCCTCTGTTCAAAAGAAGGCCCGTCCTCTCAGTTGCTGGGAGAGCTCAGAAACCTACAGTTTGGACACGAATGCGCACGGCGCTGAGGCGAGAGCCACAGCTAGAGAGAGAGCCGCCTGCCATCCGCGAAGCTGCTGCAGACTGGAGGACGAGTGCGCGCGGCGCCACGGCGGAAGCCCCGTTTCGGAAAAGAACCCTCCTCCTCCTCCTCCTCCTCCTCCTCCTCCTCCTCCTCCTCCTCCTCCTCC